ATAAAACTTATCCACTTGATACTGTGAGTTTATAAAAATTATTTTTATAGGTATGTATGTAACTTTTAATAAAAAAACTTTAATTCATATAAAATATTTTTTTATTTCAGAAGCAGTGTAAACATTAGAGGACCACACAATTGCGTAAGTTCAATAATAAATAATAATTAAATAAGTAAAACTATCAATCAATCAATTACAAAGTGGCAAAAAATTATATTTAATTTTCATTACGTTTTAATTTTATCAATTGATTAACAAAAATTTTCAATAAATTGAGGTTGGTGAAGTAGACTGTTGGTCACAATATCACCAATCTCACGTGAAAAAAAATTGTGAATAATGTTCATAATTTATTACACAATTTAGTATACAAAATATTATATTTACAGAAAATATTTACATAATTGCACAAACATTTTATTTATCAATATGTATTTTTTTATGCCTTTTCAGTCCGTAATTTCTTTTAAATGCTTGACCGCATTTATCGCAAATAAACGGTCGTTCCCCTGTATGAATTCGCTGATGTGCCATTAGATCATTTTTTTGAGCAAAAGCTTTTGGGCAGGTGGGACAAGCGTAAGGCTTTTCTCCGGAATGTGTCCGTTTATGTCTAGTAAACATTGCCGAATGCAAAAATCTCATCTTACATAATTCACATTCATACGGTTTTTCCCCTGAATGAATACGCATATGTTTTTTGAGAGAGTTTGACGTTGTAAAGCCTCTATTACACGTACAACATACGAATGGGCGAATACCTAAAAAAGAAAGGAAACATTTTTCAAAGAAAAAGAATTCATATTCTAATTGTTGAATATTCTTTAGGCAAAGATAAATACATAAAATAGTTTATTTTTTTTATACAATCCTCTCTCAAAAGTTAGGGCCTAATTTGCTTCGGTAATGCTATATATTTTTTTGTACCTGTATGTACTGGCAAATGTGCACAAAGTTCCCATTTGCTTGCAAACCCTTTGCCACACACACTGCAAAGATTGCTTTTGACTCCGCTATGTCTTATGGTATGTTGTTTTAAATTCCCAAGCTGTTTAAATACTCGTCCACATATAGTGCATAAATATGGTTTCTCTTCATTATGAATTTTCATATGAGTTTTCAAATAGAACGATTTATTAAACCCTTCAAAAAAAGAAAAAGTAAAATTAAGATCACTTTTACAATTTACATATTATACCTTTTCCACAAATTTTACAGACATGTGGCCTAATGCCAAAATGAACAGTCATGTGATTGTTTAGTTGCTCAGTTCTTGCAAATCCTTTTGAACATAAATTACAAACATGTGGCTTTATAGCAGAATGAATCATTAAATGCCTAGTTAAGTTTGTAGTTTCAGTCAATTTTTTATGGCAAATATGGCATTCGATGTGATTGTCTTTTTTGTCTGTATGAGTAATCAAATGAGCCATAAATTCTCTCTTTTTAACAAACGCTTTGTTGCATACCATGCATGTATTTTTCGTAAAAATTTTTTTATGGTTGCTGTTAGCTTCTTCAGAAGAATCAAAACTTTCTTTTGTAATCTTATTTTCTGAAGAATGTTGAACTTTATGACGCTCTAAAAATTGAATAGTGGAAAACTTTTTTTTACAAACCCCGCAAACATATTTTTGATTATGAAACTTCTTGTGTTTTGTGAGAAGTCTTTGACTGGAAAATATTTTATGACAAATAGTACATTGATTTTTTTCCAATATCACTGCCCTGTTATATTCACTATTTTTTTCTTGTAATTTTTTGTCTTCCTGTTCATTTTTCACAGAATTTTCCTCAAAAAAGGGGTGATCTTCTTCCTTAAATTCAAAGGTACATTCTGAATCACCATCATGATCAACTTCATTATGTTTAGGTTCCACAAACAACTTATCATCTATATTGTGACCACTTTCAATACTGTTGTATAGTGATTGGGATAATTGTTTTCGCAAAGCTAAATCTGCCTCTTCACATTTTAATTTAAATAAGTAGCATCTGGCAGCTTGCTCAGAACAATTTTGGCAAATCCCTTCAGGTAAACCATCTCCTAGCGTTATCTACAATTTTTATTGTTTTAAATTGTAATGGATTTATGTAGTTTTTTTATATTCACTTTTTAATCATTTAAGTATATATAATAACTATTATCTACCATCAATGAAGTATAAGACATTATCATTTGTGAAATTAATAAATCGGTTCCTGTGTTCTCGTAGGGCTGAAAAATTGATCTTAGTTGCTGGTGTTCACTGAAGCATATTCTGCAAGATTTTTTTAAAAGATTTCCTCCCATTTTTGGGATTGAAATTTGAGGCTAAAGTGAATTACGTGGAAAAACTTTTTAAAAAAAAAACGTACTTAAGAAAATGTTAAATTTCTCTTAAACGATAAACAATGCAATTGTGGTAGGATTGTTGTTTATTAACGAAAACTTTTATCAATAACAAATCACGCGTTTGTTTGTTTTTTTTCTGTAATCATCCAGCCGGTGTTGCCGTGCTTCTAAAATTAATGTTACATGTAACAATTTTTCTGTTTCATTGATACCTTTTTTTATGAAAATGTTTTTATAATATATCGTGTAGGTACAATAAATTCTTGTGCACCCTACAAAATTGCTATTAAGTTAGCCAGATTTATAAAATATTTTTAATGAAAAATAAATATAAAACTGAAAAGTGAAACAAAAAGTAATACATACACCAGGTGTAGCTTTAAACAATGTTGGTGTTTCCACATCTACAAAATTAGAATGCTTCACCAGAAATGTGCGAATATCCATCAGAAATTGTGATCGTACCCTGAGGTTTCTTTGCATTTCAGAAAACCTCAAATCTAAATATCGAAATTGCAACCTAAGGGCTTCCTTTGCTTTTTGGAATTCCCTTATATTAAATGGCAAATTAGTATCTGCCTTGTTTAATATCTCAAGTGATTGTATAACTACTTCTATTTCCCCTGTTTGTTGACTTGGATTAATCATATTTTCTGGTCTAGCTTGAACTGTACCCTGCACTTTCAATATTGTTTCATAAGGCAATGATTCTAAGCATTTGCTTGGCNAGTAACATGGAAATCCTTATTTTTCGTCATTCGTATATAGTTGTGACGATAACGTTGTAAAATATAATTATGAAGAAGTTTTTGAGAATCTTCTTTATTCTTCCATATCTAATTAAAGATATACTCTAAGGTGCGCTAAACAGTTTTTAAAAAATCATCAATTTTTCTGTATTGTGTTCCATATACACAATAAAAAGGGCAATTTCAAAAAACTACTTGCATGAAATAAGTACCCACTTGCTGCAATTCACCCTGGGGTTCTTAACAATAGCATTTAATTTTGACTGAAAATTATAACACTTGATGTTCTTATAGATACTGTCAAAGTTTTAAAACATTTTAACAGAGTTATAAATATCTTTTGCTGATATTTATTAATGTATTATAGATGGATAATATATGTGTATATATATATTTACACTTACTACTTCAATTATGATTAAAAGTATAATAATAGGCTAAATTATTCTGCATCACAATTTTAATTACTTATCAAGAACTATATCAGTTTTAAATTTTAAAATGTGAAGAACATTATACGCCACTGCATGTTTTCTTTTCTTAGTACTAGATGTTATAATTATACAGTATCAGAACTATAAATTAGAGTTATATAAAATATAACAGCGACAATAAAATTACAAAATCTATTCTACCATAAACATTAGCACTGGATAATTTGTTGTACTTTTTTCATTATTCTCTACAGCCTTTTTGTGTTTACCTTTATGTCTCTTTAATAATGCTTCTGAACTAAAAACTTTAAAACAATCGGTACACGCAAAACGTTTGTCATGCACTTTCATATGTTTTAAAAGACGGCACTTATGAAAAAAACGCAAGTTGCATTGACTACATGCAAAAGGCTTGTCATCAGGGGAAACACCGCCCGCGTGACTCTTTTGATGATTCTTCAAATCGTTAGAATTGGTGTAAGCTTTGGTGCAATATTTGCATTTGTATGGTTTATAACCAGTATGCACCCACATATGTCGATTAAGCCTGTTTGAGCTGACAAATCCTTTTCCACATGCGCTGCACAAATACGGTCTTTCATTTGTATGGCAACTGCGAATATGCAGTTCAAGATTATTTAACTGATTAAAAGTTTTTCCGCAATAATTGCAACAAAAAGGCATGTCTCTCATGTGAATCGTCTTGTGTCGTTCAAGATTAGATGGTACTTTAAAGCTCCGCTCACAAATACTACACTGATACGGTTTTTCGGAGCTGTGAATACGCATGTGCCCAATAACTCCGGCATATCGTGCAAAGCCTTTTCCACAAATTTGACATTTAAAGGGGCGTTCGCCGGTATGACTTCGAAAGTGTACACGGAATGTACTTGGATTTGGATATCTTTTGTGGCAAAGTTTGCATTCATAGTCCTTGCTTATTATATGACCTTTTAGATGACCAATAAGACGTTTACGATCGGTAAATGGCTTTTTGCATACATTGCAATATAACATAGCTGACTGACAGGCGTTTATACGGTGCTGTTTAAGTTCATCTGGGTTAGCAAATGTTTCTGAACAGATACTGCATTGCAGAGGTATTTCAATTGATTTAGGCTGTATTGGTAATGTGGAGGTGAGGAGTGCAAGAGGTGGTGGATCTTTTGGAAGTTTTCTGGATTTATTTTCAAAGGAAGGAGATGATGCTTGATTGACTTTTGGTGGTAGTAATACCAAAGGGGGAGGATCACTTGGAATAATAACCTCTCCTGCAATTTCTAGACCAGCATCCTCAGAATTACATGCATCACTTGTTTTCAATTTATTATCAGTTTCTATTTCGATGATAGTATTATTCTTGAGTTTGCTTTTATCATTTTGAATCTGGGTGATTGGTAAAGGTGCATCATCATTGTTTGCAGAATCTCTGTCAGTTTCTGCAACACTACTCTTTTTATTTTTATCAAAATCATTAATTTTATTAAACCACTTTATCTCACTTTTTATTTCATCATTGATTTCATCACCTTCAGAATAAATTTCATTACTATGTTTTAATTCTTCAGTTACCTTTTTCACACATCTTTTTAAAAATCTGTCCACCTTTTCAAATCTTCTTTTAAAGTAATAAAATTTTGCAATATAATGATAACATGAAACGCAAATTTGATTGGGTAATTTATCGTTTTCATTTACCTAGAAATTTTTTGGGCATTAACACGAGTATTCAGGGATATTAAAGGAAACTTACCGATGTTGACATGCAAAATTCTATCATTTTTGAAATGCTTGATGAAAATATGTGTTTCAGATGACCTTTTTCTGAAAGACATGATCTACACATACTATTCAATGCTACAGTAGTAGATAGGGCTTTCTTTTTCATCATATGTAACAATTTTTAGAGTTGTTTTCTCAGTTTTAACGTTTTTGGCCTTTTCGCCATTTATTTTGTTCGCCCTATTTTTATAGGTTAGATAAATGTCAAAATCGCTGACGTCAGAAACATCGATTTGAAAAGTTTTTATCCATTTTTTATCTAATAAGGCATTTAATACAATTTCGACTGGATTTCTCTTTATTTTTCTTAAAACTTCCTTTATAAATCTTGAATGCTTGTTATGACGTTTTCATAAGCAATATTAACCAACTAACAATAGGTAAAAACTAATACTTTATTTTTTAAATATTTTTATACACTGTTTGCCTGAATTGGTTTACATATGTATATTAAATAAGGTATTAAAAAATCATGTAAATATTTCACTTTTTTCTTCAGATTTAATTTTGTTAACAGTTATTTGCAAAATACTTGGTGTGTCGTTAATATTACTGGTTGAACCCTTGTTTAAAGCAGACCCTCTAAAAGGGACCTGTTTTTGACCAGTCTTTGATTTTTGTCCATTATGAACGTTGATGTGTGTTTTAAGAGTACTACTTTGATTAAATGCTCGACCACAAATATTGCATACATATGGTCTTTCCCCCGTGTGAATGCGTTCATGTTTTACTAGCATTGTTTTTGTTGCAAATGCTTTTGGACAAGTATTGCAGGAATAAGGTTTTTCCCCTGTATGAGTTCGTAAGTGAATTGTTAGTTGACCTAAAAAAATAATTAAAATATGTACATTAATCATTTTACACAGTATCTAACAAATTATTTTGTGAAGTTATGAGAAATTTTTTTATAAATAGTGAGATAGTCGGGCAAGCGTAAGTCCACTTTCATCTGATCTTATCCAGCCCGACCTGTATTCAAATATATTATTAAATAGTTAGTTTACCTGTAGTGGACATTCTTTTACCACAAACAGTACACAGAACTCGCTTTTCACCTGTATGGATTCGACGATGGCTTTTCATATCGGTACTTTGACGAAAAGCCATTCCACAAACATCACATACATAAGGTCGTTCGTTTGTATGTCTCCTCATATGTACCCGTAAAGTGCCTGAAATAGACATTAAATTAAAAAGTAAATAATTAATGTAAAATTTTACAAACCTTTCGATATAAATCTGTTGTGACAAACTTTGCATTCATAAGGTTTATTTCCTGTATGTGATCTCATGTGATACCGAAGGGCGCCGGTTTGTCTAAAACCTTTACCGCAAAATGAACAAAGAAAAGGGCGTTCACCCGTGTGATTTTTTATGTGTTCTGCAAGAAAGCTTGGATATGGAAAATCCTTTCTACAAATTTCACAAACATACTTTTTTCTTTTATAATTCATATCATGAATTTTCATATGCCGTCTTAAACTCTCCCTTGTCATGCAACCTAAAATTTTATTGTTATTTATTAGAAATGGGCAGAGTACCATTTTTACCAAATAACCGAGTACCAATTATTTTTTTGTTGGCCAAACCGAGTACTCGGCCAAATTACACTCGGTACTTCCCCGCCCGCACCCTCACCCTTACTACATTCATCATTACTGAATATATTTATTTCCTCTAAATCTCTGTTACTACTAAATTATTTTATTAAACAAATAGTCTTCACTTGAACCCTGCTATATGGCCGAGTATGAACAATAAAAAATACCAAAACGCTGAGTATTGAGCTTTTTAATCAAATTAAGGCAAAAACCTGGACAACTAAAAATTTTAGAAATAGCATAGGTAACACAAAATTGGTAATACATTTTTATTTAATGACTAAGTCGTCACAAATCATAAATAGTAATGTTGCAATTTAGCCCAGTCTAACCATACTACACATTTAAGCTTTGTTATCTAGCTTGTGATACCACTCACTGAGGATGGCTCAGTTAGTAAAACAATTAAATCAGACTTGTGAAGTATTATACACCTTGTTAATATTTTTGTATCAAATGATAAGTTCAGCCATTATTATGATTTTATTATATTAAATATTAAGGTATCTAATTTATAATGCATATATGCATGCATTGCTTACCTTTATTACATTTTAAACAAGGAAACGGTTTAACTTCTGAGTGTTTGAACCTGTGTTGTCTCAGGAGATATAAGTAAGAGTAGCTTTTGCCACATTCTTCACAAATGTACTGTTTTTCATTAGATTTTGAATGAGATTTTAAATGAGTTGTTAAATACACTTTTCTAACAAAAGATTTGTCACACCATTCACACTTGTAGATTTTTGGCTTAGCATATTTATTCAAGTCTTCTGTTTCTAAAATTTCATGCTTTATGTTATCAAAATTGCTTTTATTGTTTGTACATCCATCATCTGTGCTGTTTTCATGAATAATTTCATAGTTGTCATAATTAATACTTTTAAAGTCAATAATTTCAGTCGGATGTTCCAATAAGCTATTTTCATTGTCATTTTCAGAAAATACAACATTAGAAGATTCAATTTGTTCACTTAATAACCCTTTGTTCTCAGAGGACTCTTTTAAACTTTGTTGTAGTTTTATGTGAGAATTATGGCACAGTAATGAGAACTCATAGGCTTCATTAACTTTTTTAATACAAATGGTACATAGGTGTTCTGGAAATCCATCCCCTTTCTCAAACTAAAAAGTTATTTAAATTTAAATACAGAAAATCTAAATATATATATAAAAGTTAACTTTTATATGTGTTAAGTTGTAGATAAAATCCACTACACTGATGTTGTTTATTGGCGAATAAAATTCTAAATCATATACAGCCTTCCCAGGAGTATGATCTTGCAAGCATGTTCTACAAATATTTTGAGAGTTTTCTACCTTAATGTTCATCTTATATTTGACTTTTAAATCAACCTTTATGAATGATAAACAAATAACAAATAGAAAATAAGGTTAAATATAACATTCCTAATGTGCAACCCACATTACGACTGTGTTATCCGGGATATTTCTCAAATAGTTACAAGTTAACCAAATTATAATATTAATATATAAATTATATAATAAGTAGTCAAGTGAGATATAGTAAAAATAGGGGTTAGCGGAATAATTAATATAGATGATATTATAGAGGTAGAGACAACATTAAAATTAAACATTAATTTTTATTATCACCCTCAGCAAAATATATGAACTTTTTCAGGTAACGTTTCACCCTTTAAACAGTATAATTTTCACCCTTTAAACACTATAATATCGTCTTCTTATAGCAGCACTAATTAAATTTAAAACGTAATCTTAATAACTTGTTCATCAAAACTTCAGTCTAATAATTTTAACTTTTTAATAACCAAAATTTTTAAAATCAATTGTAAAATTAAGAGAAACAGCACAAAACATAAAAAGTCACATTGTATACTTGTTAATTTATTAAGTAAACCTGAACAAAGTGATCGTTTTTAAAATGTTTTGTGTTGTTTAATTAGTTTTAAAACTGATATAAGAATTATGGTTTTTAAAAGTATTAAAATTATTGGACTGAAAGTTTGAAGAATAAATTGTTAAGATTACGTTTTAAATTTAATTGGGGGTTGCTCATAAGAAGCCCACCCCTATAAACGATTTTTGTAATTAAAAATAGCAATGAGAATGACTTTCTATCGTAATGAAAAATTTTAAGAACTGCCAAGTCAAAAAAACTGTAAGCATCGTATTTCCTTAGACCCCCTCCCTCCTTGTCATATGTCGTTACGCTAAGTAATAGCCCTCCCTCCCCCTTATTTGTGAACGTATTTTATATTTCATGAACGACCCCTTGGTAGATGCTCCCTTAAAGGGGAGAATATTTTGCCGCTTCTAAGCCAACTCACTTTTGTCGCTCCTTCGTGTAACCTGAAAGAGCTCTCAAAGCTCGCAGAAGACTACAACTAAAATAAAAGAAATTTCAGTGTTCTAAAATAGTCGTATCGTAGTATAAAGGGCGTCGCAAGTGAAAACAATAATAAATATATTCATGTCATGACTCTTATAATATATTAAACGAATATACGAATAATAATTATGGAAAGAAGTTAGGTACTAGGTACTTTAGTGTTGAATCCACTATTTGGATATAAGTAGTAGTACGTCTTCGTTGGTTATTTATTTTGTTGAATTATGTTTATCGCATTTATCGCAAACACAAATTTGTTTAATATTTTTACGAATTTTGCCTCCTTAAAAACTCGCTTATGTGGCTTTTAGAGAAAGCCTTTAATCAAAGAATTAAACATTGGAGTTTTTCTCTAATAAAGTGGTTTTATCACCTGAGAAACTTCATATATCGGTTCCAGTGGCATATTAAGGCATTGGTTGAACGAGCTATAATCCAGGGCAGCAGAATTATTGGGGCGGCAATTATCTCTTCACTTTAATAAACACGTTTTAGGTCGAATTGCGTTTTAATTTAAATAATGCGTCGACTTTTGCCTTCTATAGTTGAACTGAGTAAACTGATGGCAGGAAGGAAGGCTTAGTGTAAAGGCCAAATTGACTCTATTATGTAAAACTGATTGAAGTACCTGCTGATCCGGTAATTGCGTAAATATTGTTTACATTTTTGGGGATCCTAAAGACTAGATATAGCTCCTAAAACGAATAGTTCATCTTCGGTACTTTGTAGAGTACCTTAAAAACCACGTTTCCACAGTATTATGACTCAACACAACTAAGTTGGTTAATTGTACCTTCTTACATCTTACAAGAACTATAAAATTTTTGGGTTTGATTAACTCTTTGCGTCACAGCAGTCCCTAGGAATAGTTTTTAAATAAGTGTTTTTTTTCAGCAATTGCTTTTTTATTTTACATATCTAAGTAATATTTTATGCAAGCAACCATGTGAAGAAATCTTGACGAAGGGGCGGCCAGACTTAATTAGCCTGGGGTGGTATTGAACATAGTACGCCACTGAGTGGTAGTATTAAAATTAGACAACAAATTGGTTCTTTAATTCGAAAATAATTGTCATGTAAAATACTTACATTCTCAAAACGCTTCGAAATAAATCGATGACGAAAATAACTAATTTTTCCTTAATGTCACTTCTAATTAAAAAAAAGGCTTTAGATTATGCCGAAAAGTATCAAACTTGCCACCCTTATTAATTCAACTTAATTACATATCAGAAGTACATGTGGTACTTGTTTATGAACATAACTCATACTTATGTTTTATGTTGCATTTTTTCTTCTTTAATTACTCCCGCTGAATTACCTACATAAATTATTATTATGTTATGTAATTAGTATATCCTTATAAAAAGTAATCATCTTCTTGTCATCTCTGGAGACACGAAGTGTAGAGAGCGTGACTAATTTGGCGGATGTATTTTAAATTTGTTCGTTTCGCGGCGTAATGTGTGGCAAAAGTGCATATTGTACTCGTGCATAATTAAATAAATAAAGGTAAGTACTTATTTAATTACAGTAGGTACCTCCTCTAGGCACTAATTTCTTATAATTAAGGACATATCGACACGAATGTACACGTAATTATCAAATTGATGATCTATAAATTAAAAAGAGTACAACTCATTTTAAAATTATTTTATCCCTCTATTCAACTGTAAGATCCATCCTACAATGACTACAGTCACATATTTTGTAGCTGCTGTGCTGTTGTTTTGTTATTATACAAATACAAACGCTTTGCTTGAAAACGTACGAATAAAAAAGAAACAAACATTTATTTTCAAATATTATGTATTACAGGCGTGTTATGTTTTTAGTATCCTCCCCCTGAAGTTTTGGAATATCTGAAGCCGTACCATACTATATGTACCGAAAAGATTGGCGTCTCGGATGGTATGCATTCGAATAAATTCATTTGACAAACATTTTCGTTCATTTTATTATTTTCTGTATTTCAGATGAAGTTAAAAACTATAAAATAGAAGATAATTCAGAAAAAATGATGGTAAAATACTTTTTTTTGTTATTGTGAAAGTGTTCATTATTCATTCTTATTTTTTTTTAAGTGTTATATGAGATGTTTAGGTTTGGAATCCAAATGGGTAAGAATCTATCAATACAAATTTAATATTTTTTGTGTGTTATAAATTAATAATGCTCCAGCTTACTCCTGATAACAAACTTCAAATCGATTACATTATGGAAACACGTCTTGATTCTATAGCGGATTTGGTAAAAAATATTGTGGATAATTGTAAAGACGTTCCTGGTAAGATATTAAGCAAATAATTAATTAATTTATGTAAGAAATTGATTCTTGGCTAGGCACTTGGTGAAACATATTTAATAAGATATAAGAAATAAAACACTTGTTACACAGTCTTAGAGTCTTCTAAATCACGNGTTTTCTCTGAAAAGATAGTTTAAGCGATTAAGATAAGTTACGAATCGATTAAATTGTCAATTTTAAATTTTTAATAATTGTTTTGAATTTTTTAAAAATTTCCGCAAATTTTGAGGCCTCTTTGCCATTGGACGCGCAAAAATTTCGTTCTATGAGAGATATGAAAACAAATTCATCAACACTTTTTTTTGCAAAATAGCATTGTGAAAAACTTTTTTTCCATATCTTTCATATTTCGCGAGATAATAGAGTTGGCAATTGTTTTTGAGGATTTTCTCCTCCCCTATGCAAAGCAAATAATTTTCATTTACATATTCGTACTCCTCACGAAATTTCCGATAAAATGACCCGTGTTTCAATAATTTTCTCCATTAAAAGGTACTCCTCAGCCGTTTCCCTCATTTGACTGGACTAAAAGGGCTTTACGCTTTCACTATGTTCCCTAATAAAGCCAACTACAGCAATTCACCAAACAGTCCTCGACCATGGCCACAAACCCAAACATTACTCAATTATTTATCTCCATTTACGTTATAAATAGTAGGAACACCAAAGAAATTTTTTATCCTGAGTGTAAATTGAAATCTACCTCCCCAGACTCTGCATCTCTAACTGAGGATAACAGTTTAGGTGCTTTCAAGACTCATCATCGTAATGTAGTTTGTGACATTTTCAAGTTTAAGCTTTTTTAATTTAAAGAACTTTTCTAGAATGCTGTTGTTTGTTGCGAATATTTTTACGTACATAAACAGTATAAATTAGAATTAGTTTTGTAGTTATAAGTAACGCAAATGTGTGTTGTACTTTTCGAAATAGAATTTTGCTTTTCTGCTGCATGTGTTATTTATCATTTAGTTTTTAAAAATCCTTTCATCCTTGAATACTTTAGTAATTTAACAATTTACTGGAAAGTCTTACTCGGTTATTTTTTCGAAACATCCTTGTACTTTTATTCATATGGATAATGCTATATACATATACTATATGTATAACGATAGCCATGAGAAGTCGTCTGCAAAAACTGTTTTTGCTAAAAAGTTTCACGAAAATACAAACATGATGTATATATTCTTATGACACGGTTTTAGTTATTTACGCTTGACCCGTACGGTCAGCAAGTTAAAAATAGCTATTGAAAATCTGCCCCCATAGGAAAAATCTCTCGTTACGCCCATGGCGGTCAGTTGTCGCGCACTCTTTTTTAATTATCGTTGAACGCCGAGACTATTAATTTGGTATACGGTGCATGCATGTACGCAAGTGCTACTGGTTTTTCGTAGTAATGTCCTCATTTATTAATTACATTCGACTTTCGACTATATTCTATAAGATAAATTAAAATTTATAATGTATTTTATTACTTTATCTAAAGCTTGTAAAATAGGTGGTTAGATTATTTCATTAATTCTGCCTCAATAATTACTTTGTCTAAATTAGGTAGCTATTAAACATTAGCAATAGATAATGTAAATAACATCCAGATTATTTATTTTCGTTGTGACATACTAATATAGATAAAATTAGAGAATTATTTCAACACAGGAAAGTAGATGGTATTCATGTATTGAAGAAACTACTAACCACACTATCTTGTTTCTTATGTACAGTTCTTTATTTATGTTAAATAATATTACAAAAAATATTTATTAGTAACTTACAACACTCACTACACGTATTTTTTACTCATAAATATACAAGGTGACTGTAAATTGCTTGTATTCCTCTCGGGATAAGAAACTATTACTAATTTGGAATGATTTAACCTCTATCATTTGGGGATATCAGCCATTTTCGAGAAAATCTACTTTGGTTTCAAAAATCCGAATTTGGAGAGTTAAAAATTAAAAAAAAAATTCCCATGATCTGATAGCTTACTAATTGATCAACCTTCCTACAGTTAAAATTTACGAAATTTACTGTTAGATTTCATGTTGTGTGTTACATTTTAAAAACTACAGTAGATTTTCTCTGGTAGAAATTAAATTAGTGATAGTTTCTTCTCCCAAGAGGAATACGAGCAATTTTTGGTCACCCTATATAAACGTAATTGAAAAGAATTTATTACAAAAGTTACTATGGATATAAATATGACGTATTTCGGTTTTGATTATTTATAATAAGTACATTGTTAAATAAATAATATCTGCTATAAAGAAAAAACAAATAATTTATTGCACAAAGAATTATAAACATTTATTGATGCAGCCTAAATATCCAAAAGAAGCGTATCTCTCATGACTAGAATGTATAGTTATTATAAAATAATATTACAACAATGATATCCATCTTTGAAAGGTTTTCCTTTGATGATCGGTGTTTTCTGAGTAATATGCTTGAAATTCGGGCTTGACCCGGTAAACTTTGGTGACAACACCGATGAAA